GTGTAGTGTGTGTGTGGTCTGTGGTGTTTGTGGTTTGTGTCTGTGTGTGTGGTGTGTGTAGTGTCTGTGTGGTGTTTTTTGTGTTGTGTGTATGGGGTGTGTAGGGTGTGATGTGTGTGTGTGGTGTGTGTGAGGTAAATGTTTTTGTGGGGTGTATGTGTGGAGTATGTGTGTGTGGGGTGTGTGGTGTCTATGTGAGCTGCGTGTAGTGTGTGTACAGACTGTGGTGTGGGTGGTATGTGTGTGCTGTGTGTGTGGTGTATGTAGTGTGTGTAGAGTTGTTGGTGGGTGTGGGGTGTGTGGTGTGTAGTGCATGTGGGGTGTGTAGTGTTTGGGGATTATAGTGTGTGTGGGGTGTGTGGGATGTGTGTGGTGTGTAGGGTGTAAGTGTGGTGTGTAGTGCGTGTGGGGTGTGTAGTGTTTGGGGATTGTAGTGTGTGTAAAGTGTGGGATGTGTAGTGTTTGTAGAGTCTATCTGTGGTGTGTGTGTGTAGTAGTGTGTAGTGTAGTGTGTGTGTGGGGTGTGTAGTGTGTGTAGAGTCTGTCTGTGGTGTGTGTGTGTAGTCTGTCTGTGGTGTGTAGTGTGTGTGTGGGGTGTGGTCTGTCTGTGGTGTGTGTGTAGTAGTGTGTAGTGTGTAGTGTGAATAGAGTCTGTGATGTGTGTGTAGTGGTGTGTAGTGTGTGGGGTGTGTGTAGTGTGTGTAGAGTCTGTCTGTGGTGTGTGTGAGTAGTAGTGTGTAGTGTGGAGTGTGGAGTGTGTGTACAGCCTGTCTGTGGTGTGTGTGTAGAGTCTGTCTGTGCTGTGTGTGTAGTAGTGTGTAGTGTGTGTGGGGTCTGTAGTGTATGTAGAGGCTGTCTGTGGTGTGTGTAGTAGTAGTAGTAGTGTGGAGTGTGGAGTGTGGAGTGTGGAGTGTGGAGTGTATGTAGAGTCTGTCTGAGGTGTGTGTGTAGTAGTGTGTAATGTGTGTGGGGTCTGTAGTGATGTAGAGTCTGTCTGTGGTGTGTGTAGTAGTAGTAGTAGTGTGGAGTGTGGAGTGTGGAGTGTGTGTAGAGTCTGTCTGTGGTGTGTGTGTAGTAGTGTGTGTGGGGTGTGTAGTGTGTGTAGAGTCTGTCTGTGCTGTGTGTGTAGTGTGTAGTGTGTGTGGGGTGTGTAGTGTGTG